ACAAATTCAAGATAATAAAATCACATCAATTGGAACAATCAAACATCAAGAAAGAAATTATGAAGAGGAAAAATTAAACAACTTTATTGAAGATCTTAAACAAATTCAACCAGAAGAAGAGGATGAAGAAAACATTTTGAACAACAATGAACAACAAAATTTGAGCGACGATGAAAAGGAAGAGGAACCGATACTAATGAATCAAATTCAAGAAAATTATCAAGATGATGAAGATTTTTTGAGCGATCAAGAAGAAGAAGCAGAGATTATTGATGACGGACAACCAATTATAATAGGAAAGCTGGAGGGGGTGGAACAACAGTTATTATTGGACACCGGTAGTCAAGTCAGCGTGGTTTCCGAAGAAGTTTTTGAATTTATACAAAGAAAAAATCCAAGAGTTATCACATTACCAGTTAGTGGAATCACGATTCAAGGAATTACTGGGAAAATAGTAAAGGTTGTCAACCAAGCCCTACTCACCTTACAGATTCAAGACAGTACACATGAACATAAATTTTTGGTTGTGAAGAAATTAGAAACAACAGCAATATTAGGCACCGATTGGATGAGAGACAAGAAAGCCAAGATTGATATGGACAGGGATGAAGTTTATTTTCAAGACAATGATGTCGATTACTACATTCGGTTTCAAGGAAGAAGTTTGAAAATTAGAACAGCAAATCTTCAAGTAAATCAGCCTACGGGAAGTAGAGAAGAGAATGAAGTCATCGAAGAATTGATTAGTCAATATGAAGATATTTTTTCAACCAAGCCAGGATTAGTCAAGAATTTTGTCTGTCAACTCAAAATTAAGGAAGCTACCCCATTTTTCAAGAAGAGTTATCCAATACCATTTTCCAAAAGGGAGGCTGTAGACCAAGAAATACGAAGAATGTTAGACAACAATATTATTGAGAGATCATCATCACCTTTCGTCAATCCGATTGTCATAGTGAATAAACCTGTGAAGTATAAACCGGGAGATCTGGTACTTTTAAGAACACATTACCAATCAAGTGCTGTGAACAAAGAAATAAGAAAATTTTTCCTACTTTATGAAGGACCGTTTGAAGTGGTTGAAGAAATAGAAGTTAACGCTTATAGGTTGAAGAAGCCAGGCACAGGTACGAATAGGGGTGTTCATAACGTAGTTAATTTGAAAAGGTATATAAAAATTCCCCCGGAACCTCAGTTAGTGCAGGTAGTCCAAAACATAGATATAGGCTAGAAGTTTTTTAGAGTTTTTAATGGTTTTGTGTGTGGGAACCAAGTTATTTTGTTAGTTTTTTAGGTTTTTATCTAGTTTATCCCTATCAGTTTTGGGAAGAAAGTTTTTGTTTTCGTTTTTGTATCAAGGAACCAGTTTTAGGTTCCTTTCTATTTCATTAGATTTTGTAATCCCCGTGTAGGGACGGGAGTAGCATGCTACATGTAGAATATTCCTACTGCAGAGGACACTGCATGTCGTAAGAGGCGACTAATCAACAGTCCAAGCCCCCCCCCCCCCATTGTTTCCCTTGATTTGGGACATTTTTGTCTACTACCTTTGGCTATAGTGAAGCCTCGTGTTTCTTTCTTTTAAGGAAAATATTTTTTAATGAGTACAAAATCTTACAATCCTGAGGAATTGGGATTTCTCCATTTTATAATATTGAATACTTTTATATACTGTCTAATATATCTTGCCCTCCATAAGTGCAATAGTGATGCTTTTTTATATTTTCTCATTATTTGTCTTATATTTGACCCTCCTTAGCAACAGTGATGCTTTTTTAGGATTTAGGATTTTTCTTATATTTGAGATTTTTGGGATTTAGTTTAGGATTTGTATATACGTTTTTCCACACACAAAAGTAGGTTAGTATTATGGACTACTTGACATGCTAGATTATTATGCGTTGACTTCTATAGGATTTTTTGATATGAGTATACCGATTGTTGACATATTTTTTCTCGATTTGTGATTTTATGGATTTTGTCCTTTTTGAACGGTCAGGAGGCGAGCTTAAGAGCTACTCTCCAGCTATGGAACCGTGTTGTGAGGGAGTTTTTGAGTTTCGTGAAAGGGTTTAGAGTCTTTGAAGGTGATGCCACCAGGAATGGTGAAGGTCCTCCCACATTTTTAGATGTTTGTGGATAGTTTTGTGAAGAGTGGTGCTGGACAGACGATTGTTTTAATATTTTACGAGTTAGGATGAGTTGAAGGTTCCCTTCGTAGGTCCTTCAGACCGCCCCGCTTTTCGGGAATCGATGTAACATTTAGGAGGTTGCTACCCCTATTTCAAGACCAACACTTCTTAGTTGGGTGCTTATGTTGTGGCGTCATAAGTACAGTTTTTTTTTTATGTAGTACCAGAGGTAGGTTCTTTCTACGGTACTACATGCCAATTTTTTCCTTCTTCTATGAGACAATTTCAATGGTTTTTGTTGGAACATTTTGATAGTAGGCGTGTATATTTTTAACATTTTGATATTTTGTAAAACATTTTTCTGGTTCTGAGTAGAATCTTGTTTAGAATTTTTGTGTGAAAATTTTTTTTTATATCACCCATTTTTTATTTTGTTGTTTTCCCAACTCATCATGCTTCTTCGTTTAAAAAACAGAAGGGGGTACTGTAACGGGTGGAGTAACGGCCGGTCGAAATTTTGCAATTTTTTCGGATATCGATTTGGATTTGTACTAAAATTGGATAAACCTTTCTTCCTTTTGGGGATAAAACTTTTTTCGCTTTGTAACTATTGTAGTATGACATCATGTTGGGTTCATTGTATTAAACTTCCTTGTGCCGCGATTCGCAATAAATGGGATCACAGAAAATTCTCAGTGCAAAACAGGATGCAGATAACGAATAAATATCGGATTTCTTTAGATAAGCTTTTTATCATTGAGTCACCAGCCAAGCTTGGGAAAGCTGGTTTTGCAAACGCTGAAAAAATTAGTTGATAAGTATTCCCCAGTTAATTGGTTTAGATGGAGGCCATTGTATGAGAAGTACCAGTAATAAAAAAGATCAGCCATTTTGCAACGATTAAGGGGCGTGAATATGTTAGGAGAGAGTTAAGAGGAAAAAATTTTAAAAAAGAGATTGGTACTGCATAGCCGGGCCGAAGAGATCGTAAATTTTCAATCGCGTGCATTAAGCACCAAATAAGTGATTCCGTTTAAGTGACGGTCGATATTAGTCAGAGTTTAAGTACAGTTTTGCACCATTAGTTAAAACGTGAATTTTCCATTGGGTAAATTTCACGCCCGAAGAGAAAAAGTAAATCGCGGAATCTTAGTTAAAAATTTGTCAAGCGTATTGTGCTAGGAAATCATCCACATAGTGTTGAAATTAAAATTAGACGTGGACATTACGTATCAAATATAAAGCGCTAAGTAAATTCGAGCGATAATAGCTGTGTGATATGAACCCTTGTTCTTAAAGGAAAATAATACGAGCGCATTTTTGGCATCTATCCGACGGAACAAATTTGAACGTTTCACCCATTTGCCGTTGTGTTAAAATTTACTATTGTGCCTCCTTGGAATATAACCATCAAAGTTTTTTAAGTGTGGATAGCCGTTTTCATCAAAGTAATGTGTTTTAAAAGTTCAATGTAATAGTTTGTTATGAAAAAACTTCTTTAAATCGACCAAAAAAATCAGGCAAATTAATTCACGAACTTACGTAAAATAAGGTGTTTACATCAATAAAATTTCACTGTGGGATTATACCTACAAAACTACATGTTTTTGGAAAATCTCGTCTACCTTCTACAAGGAAAATAACCTACTCAACAGCGAGCCAAGGATTTTTCAACTGTAAACATCAGTTGGCATTCCAAAAGTTGCAGTCTACCCCATCCATCAATCAACTAGCATGTAAAGGGCTTCCCAATCTTCATCGAAGTCCTGGATTTTTAAAGGTTAGTCTATTTTGAATATTTTCATTGTAATAAAAAATAAAGTCAATTTGTGTGTATTTATATGTTTTATGATATGTTTTAATCGATTGTTTATTGAATCAATTTCCTTAAAGAAGGTAATTAATTATATTTGAAATAGTGGAATTTGTGTCAAGGAAAATTCAGTATAAAAAATAATAGTCACCTCTTCAAGGGAGAGAACATATTGTGAGTTGGCCAACAGAACTAATAATATTCAAATTTTTTGATAACTTAATAAGGTTTTAGTCATAGTTCCCAATTTTTATAATATTGATTGTAAAGATCGCAATTTTCTGGAATGCATTGGATTTTGCATTAAAATAAATGAATGAAATTATGGCCATTGAGTTGATGATTTTTTCAACGAGAAGTTAGATGAGAAGTAGAGTAATTAACACCAGTAAAAAGTGAATTAGATACCTGATTTTTCGATGGAAGTAAGACAGTAGAAATTTTGTGTGTAAGTAATTGAGCTAGTCGGAAGCGAGGTAAAGATTTTGTGATTTTATTAAGAATTAGCGAATTTTGGTGAGATAAGCTATCCCAAAGGGTTGATGAGGTGAGAGAGGAGAGAAGGGAGAAGCGGGTACGTGGACCTGAGGTGGTTGTGTTTATCCGTAAAAAGAAAGCACCGCCACACAGTCATTGATTTTCCACTGCTGAACACAATTAATTATACAAATACTTGCGCTGTATGCAGATAGAGATTACGATTATATAATGTTACGAAAGATTTAGTTGATACTGGCTGGTTATTGGTTTATTAACCATACCAAAACAGCAATTATTAAAATGCAAAATGAAATATGAGATTATTTATTTCCTTGACGGGCTTCAAAAGATTTAATTAAAGTCAGTAGGAACTTTCTCATGTAAACCAGAATCGGTTACATGAAGATAAGGAGAAGATATCTATGCATTTATCATGCACAAATTAAATATGTGTTTAATCTATCTACTACCTAGCACAGTTGGAGTGGTACCGCATTTAGTTTAGAAATAAAGTTAAAAGTTTTCGGGAATTTTATTTTTCGAAAGGGCGTGCGGGGGTTGTGATTTATACCAACCGTTATAAGTCCAATGCGAGCCGCGGCAAAAAACACAATAATCCACTCAGGTACATTTGGCGCCCACAATCCAATTTTATCACCCTTCCGTAAGCCCAAGCTAAGAAAACCATTCGCCAATTGACTTGACCGCTCCAAGACTTCCCTGTATGTTATCCTTTGGTTATCACAAACCGATACTATTGCATTAATTGCCCCATATTTACGCGCGGACTCTTCAACCAAGTCACCAATTGTCATATACTTTAGAGGCTCCTTTCCGGGGTTGTGTACGTAGCTCAAGCGTTCATATCTCGGTCTTGAACTGTAGGAAATGAATTTTGTTATAAAATAAAGCATCCCTCACCAATCGCCATTTTGTTTTAAACTTGTCGAATTCATTGGTCTTGTGTTTGACCCAGCCTCAAAATTCACTTTTCCGATAGGTATTCCAGTATTGCAGAGTATTTCTAACAAACGCACTATACGACTTATTAAAACAGATTCATTACTTCAGTCACCTAAAATCGATATTTGTGACGTTAGTTTGACCCGATACGATAACAGTTGCTTCCTTATCAAACTCTATATAAAGTTCACCAGCACTGGTCAAAATACACACTCATTTACGCGAGGCTAGGGTTTCACCACTTCGTATAGTACAGGAAACCGTGTGCTTACGCAGATAACAATTTTCGGTATTTGTTACGTATCTCTTATCAACTTATCAACTCTATACGAAAGATTGATTCAAGCGATTGTATACTTCGATTGCGTTCACCAGTACCAAAAATTATTGAATTTATTATCTGAAGATGTCCATGAACCTAGCAAACCTAGCAGAGCAAGGTCGGCAGAACAATTAAACATATTTGATAATTAGGTGCTAATTAAGACCCTATTCCCGAAATAAATGCTCCTTTTTAAATTTAAATTATGACGTGTCTGCCAGGTTCATATGAACTCAGCAGACCACTACCTTATTCTGAATTCTATATTTTGGATTACGATACGAGTGTGGACAGGGTCCACGCGTACTTAGGCCTCAAATTCGGGCCCTTTGTACTACCTGCCTGACTAGGGTCGTCCGACCCCTCAACGTCTAAGCTAAGCCTTGTCCGGCCAGGATTCCCCCAACATAGATCGTCTCAGTTGGACTAGAGCGGGACATTCACAAAGTATGTGGTGTGCCGTCCATTACCAGCACTAGAGGGCCATCAAAGAAGATTTGCATTTAAAAGCTTTTGGATTTTATCCAGTTAGAGGTTTCGATCATACTGAATTGGTGTTCACTTTTGATTGGCTGTCGTTTGATTCTAGAATTTTTTGCATAATAAAGACGGAAAGTTGGAAAAATAAAACCCGCATCTTATTCAATAATCTACGATGCCACGGAATTTTCTAAAACAAAAAGATATCCAGTTATCAATTAGCAGAAGTTCGAAATGGATTTTATAATCGACTTGTTTACTGTCTTGCAGTTAATGGTGACTTATTCGAACATTTATTATAAATTGTTATATTAGGAAACCGTTTTTAGTAATTTGGTCTTTCTTATGTTGAATTCGCTGTCTAAATATAATACTTTTTGATAGAATTTGATTTGATTTATAGCAGACATTCCATGGCACGACGGATATTGGCGTCGTTTTTGTATCATAAAATTCCATGGCAACACAGATTATTGAAAATGATGGGGGTTTTATTTTTCCAATTTTCCGTCTTTATTATGCAAAAAATTGAAAACTAATACGGTTGATTAAGGTAAAAAAATTTTTTCTACAAAAAACCTTAATACATTTTTGCTCTAAAATAATGTGGGGAGCCAATAATTGCATGTTGTGAATTTTACATTGAAATCCCTATGATGCGTAACGCAAGTCACCACCCTGTATAGTAGAATTGATAACAGTACTTAAACTACCGAAACCAATAACAAAAAAACAAAACAAACAAACAAAAATGATCTATCAGCCTTCTTGTTTACATATTGGACACACATAAGATTTATCAAATAAATTTGGTATTTTATCTGAAGATATTATGAAACTTTTTTGTTTGTTATGCATTTCAAATTTTAATGGTTTGCATTTTTCTTCAATAGACATTTAAATAGTAGCTCTATTCCTCAAAAACTTGCAAAATTGTGTAAGTGTAAGCAGCTCTGATAAGGTGTTAGCCTGGATCGACCCGGAAATAGTTATTTGTTTCATTAGTACAAAAAATGCCAGTTTTCGGGACGAGGAAGATAGTTGCTGGACGACGCGTTAGCGGAGTCCAGCAACCTTCCGAGTCCCGAAAACGCATTTTTTGTACGAATAAAACATAACATTTTTTCTCCAACCCCCTTTACTTCAAATTATATTCGAATTTAGATTCAGTCACAGTTTCACTACTATAGTATAAGAACTTCTGCTTTCTTGTCCCCACGTGTCATGCCACTATAGTTTTTAGGTTAACTTATAACCTATTCGTTCTTACTTCTTACTTCTCATCTCTCGCGACTTTGTAGGGAGCAAATCTTGAGGTAGCATGTTCTGCCGTTTCTATAATCCCTGGCGGAGTGCAATCCATGTCGCTATCGGTTTCAGTCATTTTATTGTATACACAATTAATATTGTTATATTTTGTATTGAAATAAAAAACTTATCATACAGTTTTTTAATTAAAATTAATTGCAATTAACTTTTTCAAATTTTGCATTCAAAATGACAGATAATATAGTGCAATGGGTCTGAAGTAGATGGCGTTACGCGCGACGGCGGGTTGTATACGTATTAAAATTACGTTCACCGAATATGTAAATTACGTTACACATGGTTTAAATAAAAATAGCGAGCGTAAATCATTTTCAATACATGTACCTACATACGTATAGGTAACATCATTATTTGCATTGAATATGCAAAAATATTTGATTTGTATGTATAGAAATATCTTACAACCTGCAATGTAAAACGATGTCAATGTGACATATCTCCGTGATTGTAATTTTTTAATTGGCCAACTTTCAAGGTCAATTTCTTTTTGGTACTAGGACCAAAAGTATCCACTTTTTGTACAGTTGCCATGGTGAAAGCGATTAATCCGCAAAACGTCAATTTTAGGTACCGAACACTGTCACAAAATAGCGTCTTATTCAGGTGGTTGGAGAAAAAAAATTTTTCTTATAGAATGTGGCCTGTAGAATCCATAATTTCAAACAGTTCCCAGATTGGGCTACTAGTTCAAAAGTTACAGCCCTTTGAATTTTCTTTCGAAATTGATCTAATAACTTTTGATTGAGAAGTCTAATCGAAAAAGTACGAATTGTTTTGGATTCTACGTACCAAAATTAATAAGAAAAAGTGTTTTCCCGAGAAATTTTAGTGCAGTCGATTTTTGGTAAAAAAAGGAAAGTTGTACACTTCCTTTTTTTGAGGCAAGAAGAAAAAATTGGCTCAGATCGACCCGGAAAAAATTTTCTTATAGAATGTGGCCTGTAGAATCCATAATTTCAAACAGTTCCCAGATTGGGCTACTAGTTCAAAAGTTACAGCCCTTTGAATTTTCTTTCGTAATTGGTCTATAACTTTTAATTGAGAGGTCTAATCGAAAAAGTACGAATTGATTTGGATTCTACGCACCAAAACTAATAAGAAATAGTGTCTTCCCGAGAAATTTTGGTACAGTCGATTTTTGGTAAAAAAGAAGGTTGTACACTGCCTTTTTTTGAGGCAAGAAGAAAAAATTGTCTCAGATCGACCCAGGGGTGTTAGTATACTTTTCCCAATTCCTACAAGACTCAGTATCTAGTTTAATGGGCACCATATAAATAATCAAAATGAAGTTTGAGTTGCATTTAACAATGCAATTGCATGATACAAAGGCTGAACTGAATATATACTGTATCGTAGTTTTGACAAGCAAATTATTTTTGGTGCGAATTGTGGTGCAATTCATTTCGGCGCGAATTTTCCGGCAACCGTTTATTTAAAACAATCTAAACACAATACACACTAAATAACTCCATGAAAATAAACACTTTTTGCAGAGAATTGGTCCCTCAGTTTGGATTTTTGAATTTTACCAGACGTTGTTTTTGGAAAACTATCAACCACGCGCAACTGGGTCGGTATTTTCTGCGTCGAAATTTTTCCAGCACAGAATTGCCTCAGGGAGCTTAAATTTAGCGTAGCCCCAGCTTCTAGTTTTACACACGCGCACAGTTCTTCGCCCAATCGCTCGTGCCCTATACCAATCACCTGAATGCAAGAAACGTCAGTGGAAGAATTGGTGCGAGCCACTTACGTAAGCTTCCAAAATGTCTGGATGCGTGTTGAGAACCTCTTCTACTTCTCCCGGGCATATAGTTTCGCCGCCCCTTATAACTACATCTTTTAATCGACCGACAACTTTCCCATGGCCATCTTCGTTTAGGACAAATAGATCCCTGTCAAACACAAGGAGTTTATGCACGGGGTTTGACACTTAGATTAGAAACTAACCCAGTTTTAAACCAGTTGCTTTCATTTACATCAATCTTAGTTTGTTCTGGTTCATCATAGTACTCCGCCATTATCAGATAGCCGCGTACCCATAGCTCGCCAGGTGAACCAAAGGGAACAAGATTGTGATTCGCGTCTACAACTTTAGCTTCCACGTGATCTCCAATGTAACCCCAACCTTCAAATGAGTTACAATCTGTAATTGACTGAAATGCGATCCCAGTCATTTCAGTTGAACCATAAACAATCTACGTTAAAACAAAAATAAGTATCAAAGTTGTAGGTTGTTGGTTCTACCTCTACGCGGTTTATCTTTAAGTTCCGTTTTATTCTTTGGATTAGATCAAGCGTACACGGAGCGGCGCCTATAAGCGCTTGTTTGAGCCATAGTTTTTGGTACTGTTTCTTTTGAACGGTTAGCAAGTCTACGAACATGGTGGGTGTACCGCACACAATCGTACATCTAAAAAACAAAATCAAGTCCTTACTTATCATCGCAAGGCAGCTACCTCTCAGCCACGAGAGCTTGTAGATTCGCTTTTGAGTTGTATAGCGGTGAAGGAAATACTAACGTTGACCCAAAGTGAGTAGCAGCCAGTAAGCACCCTATCACGCCGAAGACATGGAAAAGAGGGACCTGGACAGAATAAATCTGACCTGAGGTACACAACTGAAGCCTCTTCCCAGTTACGTAACTATTATTTACCACTTGAAAGTGTCTCAAGCAAATGGCTTTAGGTTTCCCGGTAGTTCCCTAAGAAAAATTGAAGGAATACGGGAAAACGGTTTGATACATACTTACAGAAGAGAATAAGATCATGCATATGTCATCTGGTGAGACTGGCGAAGATATCTTAGCAACAACGTCGGTTAAGTTCATAACGTCAGAGTAACTATAAGTACCCCTACACTCATATCATTAGTAAGGGTTGTACCTTAGGTTGACATACCTCAAACGTCTTTCAGAAATGATGATGATGGTTTTCAGTGTAGATACCGAATTCGTGCGGAGGATTTCGCCATCACAAGTTGCAATCTCAGGCAGCAAATCACATAGTTTATCATAGAAGTGCAAATCTTTATACTCATCCGGGCAAATAATGGCCTTGACCTTGCATTTTACAAGAGCATTCTTCAGCTCTATCGGTTCGTAGGTCGGGTCTAATACCACCTGCAACTGTCGTTAGTGAGCCTCAACAAAAACGGTCACGAACCGTAGTAAGACCGGCCCGTGCAGAAGCAATGAACGCGATGACCCATTCCACGATGTTTGGCGCCCACAGTCCAATTCGGTCGCCTTTCTCCAATCCCAGATTGGAGAAACCCGCAGCTAATTTATCCGACTGGTGCAAGATCTCCTTGTACGATACCCTTCTATTGTCAACCACAGAAACAAGTGCGCATTTTTCCCCAAACGCACCTGCGGCATTCTCAATCAAGTTTCCAATCGTAAGATATTTCAGTGGTTTCCTACCAGGATTATGAATGTAACTTAAGCGAGGACCAGATTCCCTAATATTCAATTCGGTTTACGCAAAAAGACAATATTGTCACTTACCCGGAATTTGGTACAGTCGACGCGCTTGTTTGGCTCATTGGATCTTCTAAGAGAGAAGTCGTTGAGTGAATTCGTATAAATAAATATTCACATCTACTCGCCTTTCTTTAAGTACACGTACTTAATTACACGTGATGTACATTACATGGTTTACTAATTAAGGTAGATAACTTCAATTTAGTATTTTTATACTTACTCTAAATTTCAATTTATTTGTTCTAGTTTTATAGAGATAGGCAAAGTTGAAATTTTGTTTGGATTTTAAGGGTTAAAATGGATTAGGCATTATAAGTTTACAGAATGTCGAAATTTCAAGGACGTTATCGACTCACAGATTAATTTCTTACCTATTCAGATGCTTATCCTCTACCCATTTTACCCTTTTCCTTAAGAGGCGAGAAGAGGAGTAGTGACTGATAGTCGAAGCATATTTCCATTTAGAGTAGTCTCAAAATGAGAAGTACATCGTGACGTCATCACTTTCTGCGCGTATTGTTGCCACTAGTGGCGTATCATAGGGTATTTAAATTGAGGTTTGAACGTACATTTGCTGTGTGAGGCAATGCACAAATGTCAACGCGCGCGCTCCCCTTAGGAGTTATCATGGACTCTCCCGGGCACATTTTCATGCTTTGCGCAAATGACGTCACGATGTACTTCTCATTTTGAGATTACTCTAGTTACGTAAGGAGAACCACCCCAATTTTTTTCATTCATTTTAAGAGAAAATGCAATTTCTTGTTTCGGTATTTTTACGTGCAGATTGTCTAGGACATTTCCATTCAACAAAGTCTTCAGGTACTAGACGGAGATTGAAACGTTTTAATTTTTGATGTGATCAATTACTAATCAAAGTAAACGTAAGACCAGTTAAGCAGCACTCAATACAAAAATGACAAGGAATCGATATCTGCAGGAACGGGGTTATACACATACTGTCGTAGAAAAGGACATCATAGTCACAGGAAAGTGAAGAAGAATATACAAGAAGAAAAAGAAAAACTGCGCAAAGTTCTTCTATATAGAAAAGTGTAATCGTTAGCATATTATCGCTAAAAGATATTGTTTTATGCTCAGAAGAATGTAAATAAAGCTTCGTTCTTGTTACAGCTGCGTTTAAAGAAAATTTAAAACTTATCACGCAAAATAACTGGCACTATTTGAAAATAGCACAATTACCATGTATTAGATAAAAATTAAACCAAAATTAGATAAACTAGTTGTCAGGTAAACTCCTGAGGTGACATTCCGACTACTTTTAATAGTCATTGCAATTATCTTTGGTTATAGTGTAAAATTTAGAAAATACCCTCTGGCGCCTTTATTTTGAACCCGACGCAAAAGTGTATAAGACTTTTATGTAGATCTCATCAAGGCACATCTTTTTTGTAATTAACATTTTTCATTCTGATGATTACTTTCCGAGAAAAATGCAAATTTGGATAACTAAAATTAATAGTTTAACTTTTCAATTCATAACTTCTAAAAAACTAAGAAGCTCACAAAAAAACTGTAATGAACTTTTTGTATAGTTTTTTGAGCCACTTTGGCCAATGTATACGAAGAAATGGAAAACAATTTCAAGCTGTCAATGCTCTTTTCAACTTTTGACACTTTCAATAACCACGAAGATGGTTAGGGTTACGGATCAAAACCAAAGTAGGACGTTTTCGATTCCGCATACCCCAAATTTCGTCCAAATCCGTTCGGGCGTTTTTTAATTATCGTGTTCACAAGAAACGAATCACATACACACGCCCAGACGTCAAGCTAAAAATCACTTTTTTCGGTCTGTCAAAACGTCCAGAAAACGCAATAGGCATATCGAAAATTTATCACGATTACAATACTTTCATTTAAACATACTTTATTTTATAGCATAATGTTAAAATGGCATATTAATAGGTTTGAATGAGTAGGCTATGCCGTTCTTTAACCGTAAGGGTAGATAAAGTCAAAACAATTGATTGTGCATTCTAATGACATCTGTCATTCTTGTTTCAAATGTACGTTATAAAGTGACGTTCAGAACATATGACAATGCTGTTTCTATAGAAACGATCGCAACGGCAGAACCTAAGCTGGCTATTTTTGACGTCTCTAAATTAAATTCAGAATTGTCAGAAGCTTTACAATGATTTATATGGATTCTGTTATAAGATAAAGTTTTGTATTATACACGACGACAAAGGGGAACTAACTATCTTTCACTCAATGGTTAAAATATCCCTTATCGTCTTGTATAATAAATAACTATTGTATGTAGTTGGAAAGTAAAAAACAAACGAAATCTGACATAATTACTTGTAACCGTCATGTCAAAATTACAATCTATTGCGCAATAGTATAATTGATGTTCAACGTTTTGTAACGCCACTACCACTTAACTTGTTATGCCGCTGTCAAGTAACTTATTCAAAGTGTCGGGTACACTTACATTAAACGAATTTGCAAAAGCAATCCATTCATGTGCTTAGTTTTACAAGAAAACGTTAAACTTTTATTGGACCGATACTATGACAGTACCTAACTATCTAACTAACGAATTTATGTCAAGACATGATTTTAAGTTACGTAACACATAATAACCCCTGTTAAGTTTTTTATACACATTCTCAGTATGTTGGTCCCATGACAAATCGTCATCTATAAAAATCCCTAAAAACTTGGTATTTAGACTAACACTTGGGGTTTCGAGTTCTTGCTTAGCCCTACCAAAGTTCACATCACACAGTTTTATTTGTATTTAATACAAATTTGTTAGCACTGCACCAGGAATGAAATTGCTCGTTCACATATTTAACCCTATTATGAGTTATTAGAGGATTTGGAGGAATTGGAACCGCTTACTCGGGTTCTTGTCACAGCTCCGATAAAGGATGATGAGAAGAGTGACAGGGTACTGAGAAGAAGGTCACAATTAAAACCCCCAGACAGGAATGGATCAGAATTTTAAAGGGCAAGGTTTGTTGTAAGGTCATACATATATACAGATTAGTGTAGCCAGTATTGAATAAACTGCAGTTTTCTGGAGTACTTGTTATTCTTCTCTGCAGTACGACCATTATTTAATTGTGCAAATACATAACACAGTTACAGTTTGTTTAAACTATCAACCAATTCCAATTTATTTCATAACTTTAATTAAAGATTTTTGTCATTTGTCAGTTATTCATTCTTTCTATTCACTGAATTGCTGCCTTAGTAAGAACTTCTGCACCTTTCCAGAAGGTGTTCTGGGAAAGCTTTCCATTATCCGCAGTTGAGTTGGCATTTTATAACCGGAAATTTTTCGATCACAAAATTCCCTTATCGAATCCAATGTCAGTTCAACGCCGGCCTTTAGCCGCACACAAGCGCATACTTCTTCACCCAAACGTTCGTGTTTAACACCAATTACCTATCATGTCAGCGTTACTTGGGTAATTTGAGAAGGGAATCTACCTGAGCTTCCAAAATATCTGGATGAGATTCCAGTAACTTTTCAATTTCCGTTGGGGATATATTTTCGCCCCCTCTAATTATCATATCTTTCATTCTACCCACCACTTTTCCACTACCATCCTCGTAAAGAATGAATTGGTCTCTGTAAGGTAACGTAAATAAAGGAGTACGCGGAGTAAGTGACGAACCCAGTTTTGTACCAGTTTTCACAATCCAAAACTTCTCTGGTGCTGTCAGGGTCGTCCAAGTAGCCCTTCATCGTATAGTATCCACGTACGTATAATTCCCCAGGTATACCAAAAGGTACGATGTTTCGACAGTTGTCTACGACCTTGACTTCTGCATGATCAATAATATATCCATCGTTAATTCTTTGCCCAACTGTAAGTCCGCTTGATGTAGAAACAAAAACCGCCCCGGATGTTTCTGTAGCACCATATCCCGGCTAAAAAGGTTGTAAGTGTCTAGTAATTTACTCTTTGTTTATACCAAAATTTGTTGGACATTTAGTTTGTCCTTGATCTTGGCCAACAGCTCCGGAGAAAATGGAGCAGCGCCGATGAATGCTTTTTGCGCATAAAGCTTTTTTTTCAACTGAGTTTGAACGTTTATCAAATCTATATACATAGTAGGTGTTCCATAAATCAGGGTACATCTGTAACGCATTTTACATTAATTACAGTTTCATGCGCGACTGATTAAATGAATAATATAAGCAAATGCAAGAAAAGCAAACCGTAGATATACCTTTCATTTTCAAGAGCTTTCAGGTTTTCTGTCGAGTTATACATTGGTGCAGGAAAAACCAAAGTTGCGCCGAAGTGAGCAGCATTTGATATAGATCCTACAACGCCAAACACGTGGAACAACGGAGGTTGTACGCAGATGATGTGTTGAGCCTTGTCAAAACCCAATCGTTTCCCCAAGAAGTAGCTACTATTCACCACCTGACTGTGGGATAAGCAAATTGCCTTTGCTCTTCCCGTGGTTCCCTGTAGAAGCTTGAATTACGTTAGGTTAGAAATCATGTTTCTTACGGAAGAAAGTTGAATAACACCCGTCTCTTCGGGGTTCACGTGGTAACCCTCAACCGTGTTAGTATCTACGGCGTTTAATACCTCTGCGTAATTGTGTGCTCCCCTAAACGACATAGGGGAAACTTAATGAGGACTACTCCATTTGGCACTTACCTCAGTGGCGCATTCGATATGACAACAACGAACTTTAACGCTGGGCATTTGGCCGAAGACAATCGCTTTGTACTACACATTTCTAACTCTGGTAGCAAGCATTTTAGAGTGTCATAGAAGTTTATGGATTTATACTGTTCTAAACAAACGAGTGCTTTGGTACCACTTACATTCAAAACGTGCTCCAAATCCAGTGCTTTAAAGTTAGGATTTATTGCCACCTAAAACCAATACAATTAAGCACCGGAAAAAGTAAAGCTCTCATATGAACCAAATTTCAATTCACAATAAAGAAAGTTAGTACATGCTGAAAAATGACTTCGTTTTTTTGTACATATTAATTTTCAATATGAATTGTAGATGACAATATACATACATCTTAATAATTTATTACATAAAATCTTAATAATATTATTGTTAATCAGAAGACACTATTAGTGTGATTGTTAACTTCTTGTTTTTGTTTCTTTTCAAAAGAAGTTGGTGGTTCTCTTTTAAAAAAAACTGGGGAGACAAGACTAACTGAACCAGAATAACTATTATATTATGTCTACAACTATACAGTGCAATTGCCGCAGAAAGTTTCCTGTGATACTAGATTTACAAAAACTTGGATTCGTCATTGTAAACGTGAAGGAACTAATCTGTGTGATATGGACATGTATGAACTGTGAAGGTTATTTGAGATATTGAATGTTTTGTAATGTGAGGCCGATTAACAAGTTTGGATTGGGGTTATCTCGAGTTATATGTACCTACCGTAACCAAACCAGCACGTGCGGATGCATAGAACACAATCACCCATTCAACTATATTCGGTGCCCACAGACCAATTCTGTCACCCTTTTCCAAACCCAAACTGAGAAACCCCGCTGCTAATTTATCCGCTTGGTGCAAAACTTCTTTGTACGTAACTCTTCGGTTATCCCAAACTGAAACAATGGCATCCGTTTTCTCATATTTGTTTGCGGCATCTTCGAGTAGTTGTCCAAGTGTTAAAGATTTAAGCGGCTCGCTGCCAAGATTGTGAATGTGACTCAAGTGAGACTGTCCTCTGCTAGGTAGGGTGGAGTTTAGTACGGGGTGGAACAAAAGTTTTAGGTTGGTACTTACAATCCGTTATCCTTCTTTACAAATTGTACACTTTGGGTGTCGGTGGAGCACACTGGACCGTCCATATCTACTGATTTGATATGTTTTTTATAGGGACACATTATTTCAATTCGCAGTCACATGATTAATTCATTTCGTATTACAATTTTATGATAATCTATCTTAACAATATTTCCCACGCAATTTCGCCTTCCGCTACGCGAATTCAGCAACCTCGTAATTCAAAATGGAATGAATTCGCGATTTAATTCTATTTGGTGAAGTAAATCCAATGGAATTAAGCCTTTTTTAGAACCAGAGCTTGTAATTAAATCCTTTTGCAAAATGAATTGTAATTGTGAATTGTAAAAAAGGTTTCAATCTTACAAAAGACTAAAATCTCACCTCATGAAGAATTTTTCATCTGTGGCAGAGATGGGAGCTTCCTTATATCAGTTTCGAGCATTCTGCCACCTACTCCGAATTAGGTTTTCCTGCAGTTTTCCTAATTTTTAAGGTGAATACCGGGGTATCCACTGCATCCGCGATTCCTGGAAGTAAAATGCAACTTATATTTCCACGTCGACTAATTGGGATTTCCGTCTAGAAGACAGATACAATATTTTTCTTGTTTTTCTTTCCTTCCTGTTGAGATTTATAATCAGTGGTAGATTTAAAGTGTCTTGGAAGTAGTAGAAACGTAGGATATTCGTTAGAAAAACTGTACATAATTTTAAACAGTAAAAGACCTTGTTAATTAATTAAACATAACCCTGACAACGCGTACAATGAACATTCACAGAGCAGGTACCTACAGTAGAAATTAATGCAAATGTAATAGTCTACTCAAATAAGCTCCAAAAGTAGTCTAAACTGGATGATGTCACTTCACTCAACGATACCAAGTGTATTCTAGGTAAAAAATTCGCTGAATCCAAAAAACAAAGTCCCCCTGGCCGAAAAATGCCGGAACATATTGCAATAAACAAAAAACGAAGGAAAAATGGGAAACTGTCGTTTTTTTCGCATTTGACTTGAATGAAGAGAAATAAATTTGTTTAAAACGGTTTAAAATCGAATTTTTCATATACTGTTTATCAGGAATGTTCATTTTCGAATGTTATTGTGTTTTACGGAAAAATATAAAAAAAGGAATCTCCAAAGTTAACAATCAGATTTTACAAAGCAAAATTAATCCGATCTTTTTGAAAATCCGTATTTGGTTACTTCTTTTGATGACAAAATAATATTACAAACCCGATCAGCGTAGGTACGTATCATAGTCATTGATTAATTAAATAAGCAAATTAAAAAAACTATGCTTTGTCTTTCACACTAAGCGATTCCCAGAGCGTTTTCAATTTTTTTTACAGTTAATGAATCCTAAAACAACCTTTTTCAACAATTGTGCGGATGATTCTTGTAAATCGACGGATGTGCAATTTTTTTTCAAAATCCGAAGATTTTCTTAGTCAACAAATTGAGTAACTTCTAAAATATAAACAAGAAATGTAGATCTATAATCGGCGAATGGAAAGCACTCGCAAAGACCTGCATTTAAAAAAAAATTCGTCCAAATCCGATTAATAGTTCACGAGAACTCAGTTTTTGACAGGGTTACAGCCCTTTGAATTTTCTTTCAAAATTGGTTTTTAGTCCATAACTTTTGATTGAGCAGTCTAATCGAAAAAGTACGAATCGTTTTGGATTCTACGCACCAAAATTAATAAGAAAAAGTGTTTTCCCGAGAAATGTTGGTGTAGTCGATTTTTGGTAAAAAAAGGAAGGTTAGGTATACACTACCTTTTTTGAGGCCCCCAAAAAAAATTGTCTCAGATCGAACGGAAAAAAAACATTTTCTTATAGAATAAGGCCTGTAGATTCCATAATTTCAAACAATTCCAAGATTGGGCTACTAGATCAAAAGTTACAGCCCTTTGAATTTTCTTTTGAAATGGTTTTTAGTCCATAACTTTTGATTGAGAAGTCTAATCGAAAAAGTACAAATTGTTTTGGATTCTACGCACCAAAATTAATAAGAAAAAGTGTCTTCCCGAGAAATTTTCGTGCAGTCGATTTTTGGTAAAAAAGGAAGGTTATACATTGCCTTTTTTTGAGGTCCCAAGAAAAAATTGTCTCAGATCGACCGGAAAAAACATTTTCTTATAGAATAAGGCCTGTAGATTCCATAATTTCAAACAATTCCAAGATTGGGCTACTAGATAAAAAGTTACAGCCCTTTGAATTTTCTTTTGAAATGGTTTTTAGTCCATAACTTTTGATTGACAAGTCTAATCGAAAAAGTACGAATCGTTTTGGATTCTAAGCACCAAAATTAATAAGAAAAAGTGTTTTCCCGAGATATTTTGGTGCAGTCGATTTTTGGTAAAAAAGGAAGGTTATACATTGCCTTTTATGAGGCCCCAAAAAAAATTGTCTCAGATCGACCGGAAAAAAAACATTTTCTTATAGAATAAGGCCTGTAGATTCCATAATTTCAAACAGTTCCAAGATTGGGCTACTAGATCAAAAGTTACAGCCCTTTGAATTTTCTTTCGAAATGGTTTTTAGTCCATAACTTTTGATTGAGAAGTCTAATCGAAAAAGTACGAATCGTTTTGGATTCTACGCACCAAAATTAATAAGAAAAATTGTTTTCCCGAGAAATTTTGGTGTAGTCGATTTCTGGTAAAAAAGGAAGGTTATATATACACTGCTACTAGATCAAAAGTTACAGCCAGGGTTTGTGACAAGTAGCATTGAACGATTGTTTAAAGCTTGAACTTTTCATATGCTTCAATTTGTCCAAAATGTATGATTTTTATTAATCAGAGTGCCAAGGGCCTATTATGGAGTTACTTTTCATATCGTATTTCGGGAGATATTCCATTTGTTATTTAACTAAAAAAATTCCACAGTTCGTCGATTTGTAAATCACCAGGCCATCTGTAAAAAAAAATGAGAACGCATCGTTTTGTAAATTTGTTATTTAATTATTCAATAACTATAAAACCAACGGTGACTGGATTTGTCATATTGTTTTGTTATCAAAGGGAGTGGACAAATACGAGTTTTCAAAAAGATTGATTGAATTTTATTTAGTAATAACAAATTGTTAATTTTCGCGATTATTTTTTTATATTTTTCCATAAAAAACAATAACATTTGAAAATGAACGTTCCATATCAACTGTATATTATAGAAAATTCAATTCTAAACAAATTCATTTCTATTCTTTTTTCGCTCAGAGCAATAGTTAAGTTAATAGTTAATAGTAACGAGATAATTGAAGTCAAGTGCAAAAAGAAACGACATTTTGCCATTTTTTCTTCGTTTTTTGTTTATAACAATATATTCCGGGAGTTTTCGTTCAGGGGGACTATGATTTTCGGATTCAACGGATTTTTTTACATAGAATACACTTGGTTTCATTGAGTGAAATGACAACCGTAAGACAGAACTGTAATGCGAAAATTCTTGATTTTAACCGATTCCAGTACAATTCTGGAAATTATTAGGCTTTATGACGATTTTAAGAATTGTAATGGTTCTGAAGGTTTCAAAGACTCTAAGAGGATTCTATATGAGTTCTAACATTCTGAAAGGATTCTAAGAAAATGACGATTCTAAAGATTTTATGGAGATTCTTAAGATAAGATTTTAAAAGGATTGCGACTAGAGAAGTACTTATAAGAAGATTTTTAAGATTTCAAAAAGTGAATATTAAAAAATATAATATTCTAAACCCTCCTCCAAGAACTACCAAATTTTTAACGTACTTATAATGAAATGCATCTAATAATAAATTACATGATAGGGAGGCTCAGACAAAACTTATTTTTAAATTCCGGAACGCTATAGTGCGCCAAAGTTGCGATTGGTATAGACGAGAAAAAATATCCAAAACAGTTATAGTTATCTATATAAATCCCAGCGCGCATGGCCGCCAAAATGGTACAAAAACACTATATTTGTGTATTTTTTGTGACTATGAAATTACTTACTAGGGTCCTATACCCCTTAAAATGTTCCTTGCGTATATAAAAGTATTAAAAGAATTACATAAGCATATTTCTATGACGTTTTTTGGTCGCGCATCGCCCCTAAAAATGTGCTAAATTTGGTTATTTTGCTAAAATTCTCACATTTTTGGTTCCAGTAGGTAAAACAAATTAGGACTAGGATTTTAAAATAGATAAAGTGTAATGGCAGTTTTTTGGTTATTTTTTCTTGCCTATACCAACTGTCGCGCACTACAGCGTTCCGGAATTTAAAAACAAGTGTGTTTCTAACCACCCTATTGCATGAATTCCATCCCATTGGAATCTCAGCATGGAGGATGTTCATGTTATTTTATGCAATAAATTGGTTTCAACACGTAAGGTGGTACAAAATTTGTGTCTTATGGTACAATGAGTAGCAAATTAAGGCACCAAAATGGCTATGTATACGGAAAACAAGCTCCTTTCATATTTCTAATTAACGAAAATATGTTATTAGTGAGATTATGAGAACAAAATTTAACCCTGTGTTAAAACCTGCCTACCACTATTTTTAGATCGCATTTATTTATGGCGCATCGCCCACGTGTAAAGTGGAGTAGATGGTGGCATTGTCCAAAGAAAATTTTATTAATCTGGCAGCCGTGGCTTACGAGAACCCTACGGAAGTAGCGTGTCTGATTATTGCACGCAGCGTTATCCATACGCTTGTGTTGTCCTTGTTTTAATGACGAACATTGAAATACAAGGCTTGAACGTTAAATTAAATTTGTAAGTTGACTTCGTCAAACTTCCTTAATGGAAGAACCAAAATCAAATCATTGTCATTCACGATCAGGGGATCAGGTAATTAATTAAACGAGAGCATTTAGACACCTTTTCTTATGTATCTTCCCTACACACTACAATTTCTTATATAAAAGAATTGTTAGTCGCCCAATTGTTACTTTATACATCCAGTGATAGCTGCCCTTTCAAACAAATTCAAGGAAGCGTCTTGATGTAACAAGGAATATAGCGAAAACTAAGGACGGCTGATATAACTTTCAATCGTGAGCAGTGCGAATAAGTTACATTTTCAATAAGAATAACTTACTTACTTACATAGTTGCGGTCATTACACGATCTTAAGGTGCTCGGATTCAAATAAATTGTTACCTCAAAAGTGTTGGAATCCACGGAGCAAACATTTTATTGCGCTATTTTTGAAGGGAGAAGTTACGTTTATTAATCAAAGGTGCATCCGATTTGTTTATACGAGGTGTTGACAAAATTATAAACAAAGCAGCAACCGGTAAAAAGGTTAAATACAATTAATGTGTGCTTTCTTTTGCTGAAAATCTTATGTTAAAAGAGTAATTTTGAACATTTCCCTACTGTGTAATTTTTCCTAAATTGGAACTGGTGAGAAACCTGAACCACGGTTGTGCCGATTTCAAATTGGTCAACCATCTTTCGTAATTCGCCTTCAACGAGTAACCAAATAAACGCGATCCACCATCCAGTTTTCTAAATTGGTACTGACCTTTCAAAGGAGAAAGTCATTAGAACGTTCCTGAAAAGGTCGATTTACGAGAATTTATCCCGTGAACCAGTTTGTGTATTTTTCATGAGCGATAAGTGAACCCAAATCAAAATTATTAGTAAAGTTTTTTCTCATTAATTGTGGGGTATTTTTTAAGTTCATTAGTACCATTCGTTTGTGTGGATAAATTTTATTTAGCATCCAGAGACCTGTAAATTTGTTTTTTAATAGAACTTCGTACCTGGTGTTGGAGATATTATAAACAGTGGGAAAAAATTTACCTAATTAATTAGATTTGGACGTAATCAAAAAATTAATTGTTACAGTAAAATTTTTACCAGTAGCGTAGAGAATAAAACTTATTTTCTACAAGAGGGGTTTCTAACTCCGGTAAATATAACTAGGCCATTACAAACGTATTTGGAATTTTTGAAAAATCTTTGGAAATAACTGAGATATCAACGAAACATTAGCACCTTCTATGGGCACTTTTCCCGGAGAATCTAAAATCTGTTATTTCCATAACACGCTAAATGTTGAAACTATAGCTATTACTTCTTTATATCTTATGAGCGCCGTATCGAATTTTTACGGAAAGAAATAGGGGAGAAAACCCTATAGTTCTACATAAAATTTACAGAAAAATTTCAAAATCAAATGCTTTACATTCATTTCTCCACAAAACTTCCATCGGTAACTAGATCTTGCTGAATCAACATGAGAATGATGGTGATTCATTCAAATAAATTTCCTTTTTGTCCTCTATCTCATTCCGTAAAAATTGAATATGGCGTCTATAAGAAATGAAAGTAGTAGCTTGTAGCTAAGTGCCCATAGAAGGTGCTAATGAGAACCATCTATCTCCGACCGTTTAAACTATTGAAATTTCTCATGCTTTTTTTTAGTCACAACTCACAAAAAGCGTCAACTTTGCCCTCATTTAACTACAATCACCATTATGGAGATCCCAATGGTGAGCCACGAATTTTAACCACCCTGTACAGGGGATGCAAGTTAAAACGACCCCTTCGTAACAAATCATTTGATATTTAGACTGTAAAAAAATCGGAAAACACGTCAACTTTAGTTCTCAAGGTCCAAAGGTCCGAAAGTCCAAAATAGTCCTGGCCTACTCAGAGTTTTCCTTTAGTTCAGAGAAATATTTAGAATCGCGAAAGTGCAAATTTTTGATAAAATCTTAACTGGAAAAATGCCCAGGTCAATAAATGTAAATAAGCTAATGCAAATTTAACTTAAATTTCGTCTTCGTTTAGATTATTAAAGCGAACACGAAGAAGGTGTAAATAATTTACTTACTGAACTGAAACATATGGAAGTTTAAAGTTGAAACTTTAGAAGGCACGCTGAAATTTTCTGACGTTAAATTTTAAGTACTTCGACTAAGTTGTAGGTTGTCGCAATACTAAAGGCACTCTCATTGCGAAATGATAATAAAGATTGTGTAACTTCATAACTGCATTTAAAGTAGGTGTAATTATATTAATTCACAGAAACCGTCTAGGTCATTGTGTCGTATCACGTAAAAAATACTTTTTCAGAAGGGTTGCCCCAATCAACCTTTAGGGTGGGGAATCCGAAGTTTCCATTGGCCAAGACCTGCCAACATCCCGCAAACAATCCTTGCGAACCTGCAGAAGTCGCGATAGCGTGCCTGTTAGAAACTTTATTCACGAATATGTGCACCTGTTCCGATTTGAAATGAAATTTATTTCAGAAACAACGTAAACGCTACCCCTAACGGTTTATTAGAGCGCGCGCTTTAACTATTTTATTTCGGGAAATGATGCGGTAACTTTCGCGGCTCGAAGATGTGGGTTTTTGTTAAATTTTCTTTGTGCGAATACGTAGATTAAGATGTCGCAAGCGCGCAAAGGGGGTGGCGGTGGTAAGGGCCCCCCGAAAGATAAAAATGAAGACGGCAAAGATAAGGAATCGAAGGAGAAGGTGCCGTCGAAGGATAAGGAGGAAACGGCATCGAACGCCGATTCGGAGGAGACCATTCCCAAACCTCAGAGTGCCGGTGTTACAACAAGGGATGCTGCACAGAAGGTTTTGGTCCTTTGTCAGAAGGGTGAATGGGCACCCATCGATCAGGTACTTAAGTCTATGGAGAAAGCTATTGCGAACGCAGGAGAAGACGCTAATACTGTTCCATTGGCAGGAGGACTTGATTTGGTAAGTGACAGAAATGATTCCATAATACTCTTGCTAAGTGCTTTCCTTTCGAAATGGTTCGTCTTGTAGCACATTTAAGCGATCAGCCACAGTGGGCCAATTTATCTTGACTGTTGTTTCACAATGGGGAAAATAAGCTCAAGGTCAATCGACTTCCACCGAAAAACTATGTTAAAAATATGCACATGAAAATTATGCCAGAACACGCTCGATGGTCACTAACTTCCTTCTAGTCTTTTGCATTGCTTACCTTCTATCATACCGACCTATTTTATTTGTCCTACCTGTGCATGGATACATGTACTAGATTCATGGCCCATAACAGTCTACCCTATTTACTGAGTTAAGTTTATGAAACCGAGTACCAAATTAAGTTTAAATGTAGATAATAATTTGGTTTCATTTTTTTAATTAACGGTACTAATTGTTGCGGGTATTCTATGTTTTTGTAGGATCTGTTATGGAAAAATAAAATCAGCCCAATCTAAAAGAATATCCTCAAAACTACAATTCAAAGTACATTGCAAACTTAGGAATCAGGACCTGTAAAGTAAAGGAATTTTTCTGCAAGTACCATGGGTGTCAGTGGTTTTATATGAAAGTTGTGTTTTGTTGTGGTGAGAAAAATAGTTTCGTTTTTAAGTAATACGCCTTCCATGTGTCTTTTTTCTTAGCTTCACCGTCTCCCATCCTACGATTTCATACCTAAACCTTGCATAAAAGTTTTCAGACCTTACAGCCCAAGGATTTAAGCATACCGAACCACCTTCATACGTTCGCATATCTTTTCAGAAACTGACTCTTCAATTTCTAGAAACATTTCACTTATACTACTAACTCTTCTATAATCCGTACGTAGATCAAAATAAAGTTTTGATTCATTCCCAGAATTTTCAGAGCGAATGCTTGTCCACGGATAAAGTTGTTGCCCCTAAAGCAGTTGCACTCGTTTATTCCTGGTTTTTCTTTGGGTTTTGTCGATTTAAACCTTTATACATGAGCCACCTTCCTGATTGCGTTTTAAAAGCATGCAAGTATTGTGTATCGGAACCCTCCCGAGAACCATTCCAAGCAGTTTGTCTCTACAAAATGTTATTTGCATCGATTTGCGCTAACGGACTGATTTTGCGGCCTGTCTTTATTTCAAATTTGACCCCCGAAACCTTTAAAGATCTGAATTATCTATAGTCCTCTGTTCTAAAAGCGATTCGGTATGTTGTAAATCATACGCTTCATTTCGCCAACCTTATTAATGTCTAATACAATCGATTAAGTTAAACGCAAAAGGGATATCAAGGGAATTAGATTTGATGGAAGATAGGTAAATTTAACCCTTCGCTTCGCCAAGCATATTGACTTCAAGGATTTCGTATGTGATTTTTTTTACCATAAACTGCACGTGTTCCTACCTTTGTCAGCCACAGCGATTTTCAAATTTGTCATTTACAGTGCAATATCGCAATAGCACAGAAACATTGCGAAACCCTATAATCTACAACTCTTTAATTACAGAGAAAGCTTTTCTATTAAGCGAAATATTGTGGTCAAAAATGAAATAATCCTAATTTGATTGATGACAACAGAAATTTGTGATGTCAACTGATTTAATTACCTAATTACGGAAGCGCATAAGGGACATTAAGCAATTTTGATTATTAATTTGCAGATCTAACTGTAAACGTACGCATCTATCAGGGAATTAGTAAAAACTGCCAGAATGGCAATTTTCAGATGTATTTTGAAGTGTAAAGACTCTGCCAGGGGATCTATATGAAAATTTACACATTTTTCTGGAAACTCACACGTTTTTCTATGAGTTTACAGAACATTGCAAAAAGCGATGCCGGCAACCATATACTTCCCGATGTTACAGACGATATTTTTTCAGCCTTAGATCAGGGAATACTTTCAGTGATGGTATCACTAGATTTTACTAAAGCGTTCGACTTAATAGATCACAATATATTGATAAGCATTTTACATTATTTTGGCTTTAGCAACAATGCGTGCGCTCTGATTAAGAACTATCCTACTGATCGGACGCAACAGGTAGTATTGAATAATAATAAATCATTGTCAACATCTGTAGCAATGAGCGTTCCGCAAGGGTCGGTGTTGGGACCTCTTTTGTTCATTATATACACTGCCACCCTCCCCAATTGCCTGAAATATGCAACGTGCTATCGATATGCTGATGATACGCAGTTACAATATAATTTCTTTAGTAAAGATTTAGGACCTTGCGAATGAGAGAATCAATAGTGACCTCAACGACTTATTATAATCGGCGAAACAACTTAACTTGAAAATAAACCCATTAAAATCCTCTGTAATCATCTTTGGAGGAGCAAAAGAAAGAGAGGCCTGGAAAGATGATATAATTATAAAAGTGGGCGATGAAATTCTACCAATTAAAGATGATGTGAAAGTTCTTTGGTTAGAAATTGATTCCAAGTTGAGATTTAATCACTTGTTTCAAATAGGATAACAAAAGCGTACTCAAATTTAAAATTAATTTTTAATCAACGTTCTATACTTAATCAACAAATGAAAATTTCGCTTTGTAACTCACTTGTCCTGTCACAGTTTGTGTATTGTGCTAATGTGTACGGACCATGTTTGGATTATGATTCCAATAGAATCCAAAAAATTCAAAATTCCTGTTTGAGACTAATTTATGGAATAAGAAAGCATCATCATCACACAAATTGAAAGGAACCGGATGGCTAAGCATGAAAAATCGTAGATATGTGCATGAGATGGTCTTATACCATAAAGTGGTAACAATAAATGAACCTCTTTATTTATATAACAAAATTCAATTTAGTAACAACCCTAGATTTGTTAACTTAATTATACCACCAATTCATAAAACGGAATTATATGAAAGATCATTTTCATACAATATTTCTAAAAAATATAATGCTTTAAGCAATAGTTTAAAAAACATACCCGTCGGGAAATTTAAGAAGGCACTTCATAACATTGTTTTTGCTAGGCAAACGTTTGATTTGAGTTAAATTTTATAACCCATTTGACTGTAAGTTATTTATTTTTATTTATTTTTTTTTTCATACATTTTGTTTTTCACAAAGTTATTTATGTACTTATTTTTTTTCCCCATTACAAAGTAATTCTTTATTTTTCTGTACAATTCCCAATTAGATTTTGATTTCGTTTCATTATAGTAGGGTTAAGTGTAAGAGCAGAGTTGGGCCGCCGTGAGTAGCCCAACATCTGAACTTCGCCCTGTTAAATTGTGTGTGTGGCATGATTTAATAAAAGACTTTATTATTATTATTATTTCGGCCATCTCCCACAATTTAAAGATGGCTTCAATTATCAATACAGAACAGATGCATTGAGCGAGTATCTAAAATTTAAAATTAATAATTGTTTTGTACGACTGTGTAAAGTGAAAAACAGCTGACTTAGAAATATTGAAGCCCATCAAACCCGAAGTCATTAAAGTAAAAAAATGAAAGGACGAGAAAACGACCCTTGGGCCTTTCTTGAACATTAGGGTCTAGAAAACTTAAAAAACAACCGAAGATACGGTCTGAGGGAGATATAGTGCCGGAATAGAGTTATTTAAATGGCATATAAAGTTTATGAAATCAGCTCAGGCGCTTACAAAAAGTAAAAGAAACTTCGAATGCTCCAAAATGCACTTTGAAATGCGGTTGAAAAGATTTTCGATAGCTTTCTGTGGCATTCCCAGAACTTTTTAAGGCCTTTCCAAAGCGTGAAAATTGTATAAGCTTCAGAAATATACTAAAGCTCTCCAATAAGTTGTTATATGCAGTTTGAGCACACACAACAAAATTGCCTTTAGGTAAGCTCAGGGAAAGTATATAGAAATGGGTCCGGATGATTAACGGGTTCAACTAGTCAACAAAGCAAAAATAAATAAGTGAACCGGATAGGCACCACTCAGTCTTCTAGAAAATTTAAAAAGAGAGAAAATACTTACTGAGCGGGAACATTTCATACTAAGAACTCCTTGCTCTATTATTAATAAATCTATAAGCGTAAAGAGATTGAATGGATTGTACATAAACAATAACAGTAGTCGAAGAATAACTGAAATCGTTGGCAATTTAATTCAAAGTCTCGAAAATTAAAGAAAGGGAAGTTTTTAGCCAAGGAAATTACATTTGCACGGCCTCTAACGGGAAAATAAAAAAGAAGAAGTACACAAATGGTGTAAAGGGGGTTAAAGAATATAAGTTTTAAAAGGTGAAGCAGAAAAAAATCGTTACAAACCGTATACGAAGCTCTGCATGAAACTTGAATCGATATACTCTGGTTAAGTTCCTAAGGAATTCTGTAAAGGGCGTTTACAGACCAAATCATACTTGCCAATTTTTTATATGGGAGCTGTTGTTATTTAATTAGGGGTGGTTTCTTTTTAGAAGAAGTATTGCTTTAGTAGACTATGTTGATACTTTGGTTATAAATAAATACGACTAACATTAAGAATTGAATGGAAAATGTGTTGATTTTTTAAATGGCAACCCTCCTTTTTAAAACTCTACATTATGTATAAAAAATAAGAGTATCTTTGTATAAAGCAGTTTATTCCAAACAAAAATTTGCAATAAATTAATAATAAACATATTTAAATTCATGTGTATATAATTTAATCGCCCTGGCAAGATTATTATTAAGATCAATTTCTTTAATGCTGGATTGATTTTTTTCTCCGCTACTCAATAGCATTATTACAATAGAAGAAATATTAAACAGTCGATACTTCGAAAACTCAAAATGTTCTTGAAACAGACCTTTATACAAAGTTACCTTCACTTTTGTACTTAAACAGCGTTGTAAAAATAGGGGATTTCTATAAAAAATAGTTTTTAACATTTTTTTCAATTCAATTTTTAAATGTTAGTTTTAGAGCCCTCTGTATTTCTTTATAATCAAACTATCAACAGTCTAAAGTGGAACCTCTACTTAAAAACCAGCATCAATGAAATAATAAGCTCTCGTATACCAAAAGTTGACAATTATGACTTCCGGTGCAAACGTAATTTTTTTAGTCGAAAATGAAAGTACAAACAGACAAGCAGACAGACAGACAAACTGACAGCCACACTGAGCGACATCATCGAGATTTTGTTTGATTCGGAATCCTAGTGCTTCAAAATGTATATTTCTCTCAAAAAAGTGGCGGGGGCCATTTTTAGCGCATTTTTTAAGAATTAAAAAAACTACTGGCTACTAGTTTTATCCTTCATGGTACTCTAATGAAAGGTCTCAACGAAAGGAATTAATTTCTACCAACCATAGCCCTCTCCTCGACCTCTTATCGTGGAAGAGAGTACTCACAAAGGGCGATTGAGACGTCTGCAAGAAATATATCCATTGGTGCGCTTTATCTGCACAAGAGTTGTGCACAATTTATACTTGTTTCCCCCTCCTTGCTAACGTGCGGATCGTAAAAATAGAATAATATCTAGCATGTTCCATTTAAAATAAGCAACTTGGTGTCAATTTGAGGTATAACGAATTTGAAAACGTTTGAGATGGGTCCCTCTTTGGTTCCTCTCATCAACATTAGTATATCGTCATGCTAGTGATATTACTGTGTGCAATGGCATGCGGTCACCTGCACCACCCACAAAACACATGTCCAGCTAGCTCACAACAAATAAAGTCATTCACAAAAACCAAATTTGGTTCAACCAAACTTCTCAACGGAGCAATATTTTGTTCCTCCACTCTCGGCACTTTAAAATCTTGTTATATCTTCTCCTCTCGCTTTTCTTTAATATCTATAATTTTATATATAATGTAGTTCTCCATTTTTTTGGGGTTCGTTGAGATTCTTTAATATATAAAAGGAACCACAATTGTTTATTGTTTCTATAAAGCAATCGATTTCGGGTTTAACCACCCATCATCAGGCATGTGATATTTTTTAGCATAGCCTGATGATGGGTGGTTAAACCCGAAATCGATTGCTTTATAGAAACAATAAACAATTGTGGTTCCTTTTATATATTAAAGAATCTATAATTTTCTCTTCTTTCACCTGCAGTTCATCTTTATTCTTTACTTTCTTTTCTAATTCTCTGTTCATCTCTTGTAAGTCTTCATGAAATTTCAAATTTATGCTTTGGCTAAATTTTCTTCTACTCCGTCAATTTCTTCTTCTAATTCCAATAGCTTCGAGGATTCTACTTCTTTGACAGTTGGTCTTCTTTCCTTCCTTAATTTTAGTTATCGTTCTCCTGTCCCTTCCAATTTCTTTAAAACAAAACGTTGAGTCTCCCCCCCTTTCTTCTGTTTCATTTTCTTCAGTTTCTTCTTTGACTGGTTTTAAGTTTTCAATGTAATTATTTAAATTTTCTTCTTCTCTTTTAGAATGGTTTACCTATGGCTAGGTTTATGGTTTCTTCAATATTCATTTGTCGTATCACTACTCGACGATCTTTTTGTATTAATTTTGTTTCTTCTTTAATTTTTATTAGTTGGAAATAATTTTTTATGAAATGGAATGCTCCTGAGTTCTTCGTAATCTCCAAGGGACTAGTGAAGCTTCTGATGGTTTCCGTCGGAGGGATGGTTTGGATGTCGCCATCAAATTTTTTCGGTTTTTGGTGTAGCATGTGATCGGCTTTATAAATAACTGCGGGGTTTCCATGGAGTGTCTTCTTCCTCGATTCTTTCCATTGATTTCTTAGCCTTCCAATATCATTATCATGCTTCGTTCTTCTACACTTGATATTGTGCGGTCTTGGTCATCCAGCCTTTTTGTAGTTCTGCTGGTGTGGGCTCCCAATTTTTATTCCCGGTTCTCACGGATCGCCAGTTTTCTTTTGGCTCTGATTCGTTTCCTTAATTTGTTCTTTAGTTTGTTTTCTCAACTTCACTGGCTCCTCGGGACACTCTAGAGCTCCAGTGTTCTTTGGTGCAGAGGTATCCGGCATCATTTGAAAGTAGAAAATCAAGAATTTGGTTTTATATGGCGCATTTTTCACATAATGTAACCTTTCAGTGTCTAACTAATATTTATGGTTTCCCTTCTAACTTCTTCATTGACTCTTCGCCGTCTAATTCCAACACACTTTCAGGATAACCCTCTTTTTGGTGCAAATCGAGTTTAAATTACATTAGTTTAGATCCATTGGATGATAGTTGGACTTTTAAAAATCAAAACTTCTCCTCGAAAATGACATTACTAGTCAAAATTGTTATTCCACTGCCAAAACTAAGCCTTCTTAACCCTCTGGCCGTCAAAAATGCAAAACTTGTCATAGATTTACACATTTCGACAAATTGATTTGATTGCTGTTAATAATTCTGAGTTTAATAAACAAAAGAGAAACCTACTATGTTAGTAGTTGAGCAGAAAATGACGTTTATTACAAACGGTACGCTCAGAGAAAGAACTACGAAAAGCAAAAGTAAAGAAATTAAAATTAGCTGCAACAAAAATTGGAAATTTGCTTGCGCCATTTGCAGTATGGAAAAGCCCACGACTATGTTAAGAAAATGCATTATACAACTAAGTTTACACGATTGATACTAAAGGGGATCAAACAAGCATTGCACTTTTACATTGAAAATCGTTTGATGCACTAATAATTAGAGAGTGTGCCTGGAATGCCAATGCACTAGAAAGCGTAGGTATAATCATCATCTAATACTTCCATCCTACCCATCAGTACCTTCTAAAATATTATTTCAATCCGATCGCCACTAATGCTTCATGACGACTCCGGTTTCTTCCTTATAGTTTCACAGGGATTTAGTCCTTTTTACTTTTCAAATTCGAAGGAAATGCCTCTAAATGCGTTCTGTGTCAGAAATATTACTTTAACCTATTGATTCTCATTGTTAAAAATTTTATTAACATACGTAAAAGCAATCTTCTTTAAATTGGACTGATCTCTCTACCTAATTGATTACTCGCGAAGCGAATACGAAAGGAAAATATTACAAAGATTATAGGCGATTAGTATTGAGCAAACAATAAAGTTGTTTTTTGTTTCCAGGCTACCGGAATGACACCGTTAATGTATGCAGTGAAAGACAACCGAACTTCGCTTTTGGATAAAATGATCGACTTGGGATCTGACGTTAGTGCTAGAAATAATGTAAGTAGCTCTAATTAAAGAGTAGATATACTCGTAGTTACCACGTGTTGCATAAGTACGAATTAAGTTTTCCCTCAAAATAAAATACTTTCACGAGATCCTACGTTGTAAAGAGGTAATTACCTAGTATCTTGAAATTTAACTCGGACTTTTCCAACTTAAACTCGGAAAGTCCGATTGTGTTTCTGAATGTCCGAATTGAACCAGAGAAATCCAACTTAAACTCGGAATTTCTGGTCTTTCTTCTGAGACCAAAAACGCACAAAAGAGACTTTCGATATCTTACTATAGCCACTAATAATAACCAATTATCAATCAAATAGTTAAATTCTTGATAAATATCCGAAACAACCTAAAACTATTGTAGAATAGCATCTTTCTGTTCCACAAAGGTTCGACTACCCGCCTACAACAGTTGAAAACAAAATTGAATACCAAAATCCAAAAAAAAAAATTGTACGACGATGGAAAGATCCGAGATTCATTTTAATAAAGTTTAATAAGTGTGGCCCATGTTTCATTTTTAGACTTATTACTTGTTGTTCCAGTAAAATGTTTACCAGTGCCGTAGAAATTAAATTTTATTTTGTACAAGAGAAGTTTCAAACCCCTGTAAATGTAACTAATCCATTAGACTTGAACGTATATAACTTTTAACATTAACTTCAAGATTTTAAAAACAAGATGCAACATGATCCAAAATCTAAATTAATCTTCAAAATTTAAACCTTAAACTTAAATCTTAAAAATTCTGATTTAAATTCATCTCATTAACAGTTTAGAAAACGAAGTAGCGTAATTTTATCGTCCTTCTTATTCCAAATCATCACGTTTAATACTACGGAACTTCTACTTTAGCGCCTGATACTCCCTTTTGTAGCTACTTCAACTTACTTATAACTTTATTAGAACGAAAAAGAACAAACTGAAATAGCCCTTATCATACAGCAATCGAATGTAGAACACGATTTCTTAGTCTATAAACAAAAGCTCCATTCCAAGGGTTTAAATCGTGGTCGTAAACGGTAATCAAAAGTTCCTTGTCCACATTTTGGGGCCAAGGTGCGCAAACCTTGACACTGATGATTTTATCGATGCAAATTACATACGGTTAAGGGCGCTATTTCTAATATATCTTTGATTACTCCCATTTCATGTTATTATACGTGATTTATACCAAAGACATATATTTTCGGTTGGTATGCTTTGGCCCCTTTGTACGTCATTTGTACGATATGGTTGCGTGTCCTTAATTGTATGCGTGAAATTAGTTTTCGACCACTTTTAATAAAAAATTAACCCGGTTCTAAAATACCACCCGCACGTTCTTTATTTGCATACAACTCTATTTATTTATTGATTGTATGCACTGCTAAAGTACGGGAAAGGCATTTCTCTGACTAAGAAATTAGTAGGAGATGAATGTTGTATAAAACTGGTCCTAAGCGAGATTCTTGTGGAACCTCCGAATGCCCAATTCCTGCTTTGGCCAGTTCAATGGAACATTTTTTGGATACTATGTGCGGAATAATTATGAATGAAACATGCATCTTAGAAAGTTTTTGCATTTCGACATGATCCAATGTTTTCTAGGACAACTGCAAAGTAATTCAATTTGAAAATGTAACTTGCAACCATTTACTTTCAAGATCCAAATGCAAAGCTTACCTCGGATCGCAAGAAATTGGGCTTCGTAAAATAGAAAACAACAAACGATATATTTTTTATACAATAATCAAAAGTTTCCTCAATCCCGTTTTATTTCAATACCGATATTGATCTTTCTTATTCATGAAACTGAAGGTAGAAAATATTTAAAAAATCAATACAATTTGCATATACCTACCAGCTGCGTTTAAAACTGTATTATTTACTCTCCGTATAAATTTCAAAACGGGATTAATTAAGATAACACTTTCGCGTAGTATTTTTAATTAATAGGCACTTACTACACGCATTTATTTTCTATTCGGACTAACACATTTTGTGGAATATAATATCGCAGGAATTTTCAAAATCTTTGAACGTGTAGACGCTAAATTCGGGTATTTTACTCCATTACGTCAAAACTTTTTTGCATGGATGCCGCATATTTTTGGAATGAAAAAACTATCGTTAAATTAACGATTCAATAGTTTTAAGGAAGCCCTAACCGATTCAAGCCACTTTTTTCATTATCGCAATTACTTGCGGATGTAGATAGCAGTTTTCCTATTTTAAATAGAAGTATTTTATTACGCTCTGGCAATATACATGAAAATCTACGTGGTTTGATACCACATTTCCCTACACCTAGCATTAAAGGTTTTTTTGAGCGCTGTTGACTTGAATCTGAAAGAGTCTTCTAAAATCAACAATATTGACTTGAGGCTACTTGGGAATAATTTAAATTTTGATCACTCTTTTACAGGGTGTTTTAAAAGTAATGGCCAATTTTAATAATTGCAAATCTTAAAAAGATACAACTAAAGTTATTAAAGCAAAGCAAGTAATTTACTGGTAAGATGTGCCGACATGATTACAACGAAACGCAACATTAAAGAATCGCTACAGTGATAATAATGCATTCTACTATAAAGTAGACATTGCGTGTAATGTAGGTACGCCTAACGTCCTACTTTACATGTATAATTTGAGTGTATGCATTGTAAGTCGAGATTTTTTTCCGAAAAGCTAACACGTCATCGAGCTTACCCTGTAAGGATACCGAAGTCTGCTAAAGGAAAATCTTGAATCAACAATTCGGCACGCGATCATTCTGTACCTACCTGGTACATCAAATCGAATTTGGACTGTCGTAAATACATGCTATGAAATTGTTTAGGAAGCACCATCGCCCATAAATAATCGTACAGATCATATAAATTAAGACTAACATTAATTTATGTCCACGGGCAAGTCGGGCCTTCAATACGAAATTTATGTCAGCCTTAATTTCGAAAGTAATTTGCAATTTTCATCGAGTTAATGTTGCTTTAATAAACGAGAAAGGTTTCACAAATTTCTATTAATCGGTGATGATAGATTGTGCATTAGCAATATTGGGGGCAAGACGTTTTATTAATCGCAATTACCCTTGTTCTTTGATTTACGATTTTTATCAAGGACAGGTCATCATAAAAGACCTGCGAAGTCATTTTCTTTCCTAGTTACTTTGAAAGGCACTAATTTGGATGTCGCTTCGGTTTCAGCCCTTTTTTGTGCTTGACACATTGTACACACCTGTCTTGTTATATTTCATTGGTACATTTGCACTAGTCCCCGAGTATAAAGTCAACAGTAAAGAATAAACACCTTATAGTTTACGTATGCCTCAGTGATAGCTTAATGGTAAATCTTTCCTTTGATCTTTAGATCAATTTTACAGTACATTTTGATAGAGAAAACTCAGAATGAGGCCTTGAATAAATTGAAAATTGCGTCAATTTCACCCAAACGGTTACTGCTATCCCAAAAAGGCATTATAGATAATTACCTATAGCTTTATTTTCCGTACCCACATGCGTCCAGAAACTCACCATTTTCCAGCCTAGGCAAAAATATCACTAAAAATTGGCTCGTAGAACTGATTGCTTTGACATATGTAAATTAAAATTAAATGGTCAGAATGCCCAATTAATATTTCACCGTTGGGTTTAGTGAACTTAGTGTTTATGGCAAGAAATAGATACTGAAAGTTTACCTACTTTCAACCTGCAAATAGGAATGCCAAAAAAATTTCCCGACGTAAACAAAAAAAACACACTAACCGCTAGAACAGTGTATTTATCTGTCACTGTAAACACTAAGCTGTATAAGTACATTATATATTTACCAGTTCTATGAAGTTTTCAATGATGATTACCTAGCTAGATTTAATATCATCAAATGAAAGATTGATAATTGTTAATGACGGTATTAATAATTTAGCTATGAAATGTGGACCCAACAACTCAAAATCTAATTTGAAATACCCTAAAATTGAATTTAAGAAATTCGGAGGTGAACTCAAGAATTGGTTACCCCTTCTGGAGCTAATTTAAAAGAATTCAGGATGATGATACAATTGATCCCGAAATCTAAAGCCAGACAAATAGTAGGAAGTTATCCACAAATTGGAGCCAGCCATTAAATCATTTCCAAAAGTTACGATGATCTTTCAACAAGTAATAAACCATAAACAATGACAATGCTTGGTAATAGAGAAAATAAATTGTTACAACTAATATAACCTTTATGTCCATTATCCTAGCAGAGCAAGGTCAGGAGAACACAATCAAACATATTACATAATTAGGTGCTAATTAAGTGCCTTATTCCCGAATCAAATGCTCCTTTTTTTTAATTATTACATGTTCTGCCAGGTTCATATGAACTCAGCAGAGCACTACCTCTAAAAACCAAGAAAATGAAAAGTGAATTAACTATAATTAGGTGCTAATTAAATGCCATATTTCCGAATTAAATGCTCCTTTTTTTAAATTATTACATGTCCTGCCAGGTTCATATGAACTCAGCAGAGCACTACCTCAAAAAACCAAGAAAATGAAAAGTGAATTAACTATAATTAGGTGCTAATTAAATGCCCTATTTCCGAATTAAATGCTCCTTTTTTTAAATTATTACATGTTCTGCCAGATTCATATGAACTCAGCAGAGCACTACCTCAAAAAACCAAGAAAATGAAAAGTGAATTAACTATAATTAGGTGCTAATTAAATGCCCTATTCCCAAATTAATTGCTGCTTTTTTTAAAATTATTACATGTTCTGCCAGGTGCATATGAACTCATCAGAGCACTACCTCAAAAAACCAAGAAAATGAAAAGTGAACTAACTATAATTAGGTGCTAATTAAGTGCCCTATTCCCGAATTAAATGCTCCTTTTTTTAAATTATTACATGTTCTGCCAGGTTCATAATTTAAAAAAAAGGAGCATTTAATTCGGGAATAGGACACTTAATTAGCACCTAATTAGCACCTAATTATATTTTATTAATTAATTAATTGGTAGAGCGTTGGACATATATTAATTTATT